CTAGAAAGACAGGCACTTAAGTGCAAATATACGCTCCATTATCGAAAATAAGAAAAAACACAACTTTTTTTTCTTCCCCTCGCTTGGGCGCTTGGCGAACTTGCAATGTATAAATTTTATCAGACCAGCCCTCGCGGCCTCGAAACACTACCGGCTCACCGGGAAAACTCTCGACTCTCCTGATTGCCACGCCGCTAACGTTACTCCACAGCGGCGGCGACCCACTAGACTAAAACAGTCTGAAAATAAACACTTATTATAGGTGTACCATGGTGATTCAGGATTCTGACTCCAGTACTCACCGATATGGTTTCGGAATCGGAACAACTGAAAGGAAAGAAGTGTGAGACACAGCTCTGGAGCGTCTCAGTTGATTCACAAAACTACCTAACGTTAACTGCCCGGGTTCTCTCTGCGTGTGTTTCGCGCTGGATGACGGCCGTGCTGAGCGGTGCAGGTACAAAAATGTAATGTTAGAAGAAGAGAAATGTTTTCATTTTCATTTCATTTTAAACCACAAACTACGGAGTATGTTTTGGACATTATTTAACCGTGTCAAAGACAAACTAAATTTTAGAATAACAACATTTCTTGCTCCAATTTAGGGGTGCTGAGCTCCTTTTTAGGGGTGCTGAAGTACCCTTAAGTACCCTCACTTTACACAGAGGAAGATGAGAAGAGCTTATACACACTTTACACAGAGGAAGATGAGAAGAGCTTATACACACTTTACACAGAGGAAGATGAGATGAGCTTACACACACTTTACACAGAGGAAGATGAGATGAGCTTATACACACCAAGTTGGGGCTCCATACACCCGGTGTGGGGGGCCCTCCTAGAGGCCCCAAAAGCCCAGAGTGTGGAGCCCCAACTCGGCTTATTTTTTCGCGTTACACCCGGTCAAAGTTGAAACTTCAACCGGGCACTGGGCTTTATTCGTGCCCAGGAGACCCTGCCTGGGATGCACTTTTCTGTTCGCCGGACCCCCGACTTTGAACGGCTAGAAACTCGGGACCCGGGCAAGTTGGACCTCGGAGGCGGACTCTTTCAAAAGGCCCCGTCAGCACTACGATCGATTCGAGTTTAGGGAAGATTGGGCCAGGGGTTATCGAGATATAAGCCAAAAATGCTGCGCCTTTGACCAGGCGTAACTCCCTGACCCCGAGGCCCTCGGGACGCGGGTGGCCTCTTTGGATAGGGCCCCTCGAGACCTACAGACGACCCGAGTTTGAAATTGTTTTGCCTTTTGGTTGAGATATATTGGCGAAAAACAGATTTTCCCCTCCGTCCTTCGTTCGTTGGTGTGGATGTCTCCGGGGGACTTGTGCACCTTCCTGGGTGTGCCGTCAGAGCCTCTGGGGCCCTGGAAGTCCCCACCCACTGCACGTTTTCGGACTTTGAGGAATTTACAC